GTGTAACTAACTGATATCTCTTCTTCTTCTCTGATTAATGTATGTGTGTGACTACTACTCTTCTTCTCTGTTTACTGTATGTGTGAGTGTGTGTAATGTATGTGCTTTCTTGCACAGTGATGGATCACACTACCAGGGACAACACAGCTTACTTTTTAAAGTGTGAGGGGGGCAAAAATAACAAGAACAAATAAGACTTTTTGGGGGAAGAATAAGTTGAAAGAAAGGTATTGGATAGGGATAAGTAGATGGATTCTAGGCAAGGGTAATTAGTAAGTGGTATCCAATCCTTTCCAAGAACAGAAACAAGCAGAAGGCTGACTAGGAAGCCAAGTCAGTCCAGTAGTACCTTTCAGACACAGTTGCTCAGGCAAAAACAGCTCACAAAAGGGACAGAAAGGCTGCAGACAGAGGCTTATATGCTGTTTCTACGTCCCTCCCCCAGAGCACTGTGATTTGAAGGGAACTCAGGGAAAGATCACAGTCACAGGCCAGCTAGAGATATCAGTCTTCCCCCCTCCCCCCCCGCTCCCCCTTCCTCTTCTCAGTTTCTGTTCCCCTGAAAGACTGCCTTCCGAATCTCCGAGTCCTTTTCTGAATCGATTCAGAGGGGTTTTTTTGTCTCCTGATTTGATTTGGATTCAGTGATTCAGCCTCTGAATCAGACCAAATCTTCTCTGAATTAAATCAGTGACCGAAGCTTCAAACACCCCTTCTACTAAGGGGTACAGTATTGGAAGCCCAACAAGAAACTGTCCTGACATAAGGGAAACACAATAAGAATGGCAAGAGACCAATGTGGCTGCACAAGTAGCTTCTAAAATGCCTCAAATGCAAAAGGAGAGCATACAGGCAATCAAGGAATGAGCAGGTCACCAAGGAATCATACAGGGAAAGAGCAAAAACCTTCAGGGACAAAATCAGAAAGGCAAAGATAAACAACAAGCTGCACCTGGCAAAGGAGGTTAAGGACAACAGGAAGGGATTCTATGTTAGCCAAAAAAGAAGAACCAAGGAAACTGTGGGTCCTCTGTTAACAAGCCAGGAGGAACTCCTAACCAAAGATGCAAAGAAGGTGGAGTTACCTAACAGCTACCATGCCACAGTCTTCACAAAAAATTCAGCTGCAGACAGACACCTAATACAGATTATCTGGGTAAGGAAAGGGGCAAGATGAGGGAGAAGATAACAAATGAGAGGGTCAGAGAGCTTTTGTTGGGTCGAAATGAATTCAAGTCAGCAGGGCCAGATGAACTTCATCACAGGGTCCTGAAGGAACTGGCAGAGGAGCTCTTGGAGTCCTTGACAATTATCTTTATGAAGTCATGGTAGACAGGCCAGGTACCAGAGGACTGGAAAGAGGCCAGCATAGTGCACCTCTAAAAAAGGATAAAAGAAGGACCCAAGGAACAACAGACCAGTACACCTCACCTGTATACCTGAGGAGTTATTATAGCATATCCTAAGGAAGGCCATTTGCAAGCATCTGGAAGAGGAAAGGCTGATCACAAGCAGCCAGCATGGATTTATGAAAATAAATCATGTAAACTAAATATGATCTCCTTTGACAAAGTAACTAATTGGGTGGATGAAGGGAATGTTGTGGATGTAGTGTATCTGGACATCAGCAAGGCTTTTGAGAGGGCCCCACATGACCTCATAAACAAATTGGAGAAATGTGGACTAGATAAAACTAGACTACTATAAGGTAAATAGATAATTGGCTCAATAGTCACAAGTAATGGGTAGTTATTAGTGGGTCCATGTCAGAATGTCAGGAGGTTTCAAGTGGAGTCCCACAGGGGTCTTTCACCTGTTTATTAATAATTTGGATACTGGCATAGAAAGCTTCTTGAGCAACTCTGTAGATGACACAAAACTGGGAAGGACTGCAAACACATTGGATCATGCAAGCGCAATTCAGAAGGATTTCAACAGATTTGGAAGTTGGGCTGGAGCTAACAGGATGAAGTTCAATGCAGACAAATGTAAGGTGCTGCACTTCAGTAGGAATAATCAAAAACACAAATGCAAAATAGGGACACCTGGCTGGATGGCAGCACTATAGAAAAGAACTTGGGAGTCTTTGTAGATAACAAATGCAGTATGAGCCTGCAATGTGATACAACTGCACAAAAGACAAATAATATTTTGGGATGCATCAATAAAAGCATTAGGTGCAAGATGCAGGAGTTGATAGTCCCTCTCTGCTCGGCACTGATTAGGCCTCATCTGGAGTACTGTGTGCAGTTCTGGGCTCCACAATTTAAAAAGGACGTGGAGAAGTTAGAGGGGGTCCAGAGGTAGGCAACAAAGAAGATCAAGAGCTTCGAAGGCAAGTCATATAAGGAGAAGCTGAGAAGTTAAGCATGTTCAGCTTGATGAAAAGGTGCTTAAGAGGGGACATGATAGCAGTCTTCAAATACTTGAAAGACTGCCATAAAGAAGCGGGAAAGCACCTTTTTCTCTTGGTTCAGAGAGGAGATCCTGAACCAATGGCTTGAAATTGCAGCAAAGTAAGTTTAGATTGGATATCTAGAAAGACTTCTTCACTGTGAGTATAGTGAGGCAGTGGAATAGACTGCTTAGCAAAGTTGTGGACTCTCCATCACTGGAGGTGTTCAAGAAGAGGTTGAACAGCTACTGGTCAAGGATGACCTAGGCATAGTTATGCCTATGATATACTATAGGTATTTCCCACTGTTTGGAGCTATGTTGATTCCCCCTCCCCCTGCCTTTCTGCTACATGTGTCAGGATATTTTTAAGCCTTCCTCAGAGGTATTGGTTGTTGGCACAGCCAAAATTGGGAACTTTGAATAGGGTGTGCCAATGTCTCTGCCTGGACAAAAGCCAGAGGGACTTTTGTTCCTGGCTAAAGGGACTTGCCCCTCCATTCAAGGTGACCATATTTGGAGTTGGGAAGGAATTTTACCCCATGGTCAGATTGGTATGGACTGTGGGGGTTTTTGCCTTCCTCTGTAGTGAGGAACATGGCTCTTCTACCTGGTACCTCTTGAGCATATATTAACAATATTTTATAGACAACATTGGTTGCAGTGGTTCCCCTGCTTTACCTGTGGCAGGTTAGGGTGTTAGGTCTATGTTGTATCAGGGTTGATGATAGTCATATGTAGAGTTTTGATTATGGTTGTATGGGTGGTTTTTCCCTGGCCCAGAAACACCACTACATAGTTTAGAGCCACTCCCACATCTGCCCAGCCCAACATGGTGGCCTGTGGCCAAAACATCTTCAGAATGGCAGCTGCTGCCATAGATTAGGAGCTGGACATAGTCACAGATGGCATGCTGTTTAGCAAGAGCATATGCCTGAGTTTCTACCCACCACCCTCCCACCTTTCCCCTCCACACCCCAAAGTACTGCTTCTTTACTCTTTGTCCAAATGGAAGTGATCACAGCAGCCATCCAAGGGTGACATGTAGAGAGTAAATCCTGTGACTTCTTGCGAGAAAAGCTGCAGCCCAACCAGTCTCAGGACAAATGCAACATCTGTTATAGCCTTTGGGGACAGACTCTCCCACACCAAACCTACAGTTAGGGTGCAGGCTACCTGCACAGCTTGTGCGTGACCACAGTTGTCACAACCACTAAGTTTTAGTAGTGTCACACTGCATGACTTCTCCATCTGCCATTCCCCTCTTCATCCTCCCCCTCTCAGGAATATGACTTCTTCTGCATCAAAGGTCTTCTGTAGCATCTAGGATTTACCTGTAAAGTATATGAAAGTTAAAACAAAACTTGTCATATTTATTTTCATTTATTCTTTTTGTGTGATAAAAATTCACATTTTAAATTCTTCTGAGCTCAATAAAATTCATTTTGCTACCAAAAACATAGTGGTCCAAGCATAAATCGATTTGCAGCTGAGGAAAGTGTAAGTCAGCTTTCATGTTCTTGATATTCACCGTAAAACGTATTTTTCATAAATCTACATATAAGAAAAATAAACAATATCTATATTTCCTTATTTCTGTTTAAATATTTAGTGAATGTAATTAAAAGAAATATGATCCTCTTTTCAGAAACATTTAAACCATTCATAAATTGAATGCACTGAAGTTAGGTCATGATTTTTGTACTTTGAAAGTCACCATCCTGTAAACATTTAGCAGAAATTGGCAAGCTAGTTACTAAATTTTATGCCCAAATATTTTTTCTTCTGCTTTCATTAGTGTTTAATCTGTCAAGCTTGAATATTAATTCAAAGTTACGTACAAGCCCCTATATTCTCAAAGTACTTGAAGGCCGACTTCAGAGGCTTTCCAGTTTTTATTTTAAATGTAATTTTTTAGATGATAAAACGATATAGTTGTATACTATATATAATAATAGTACCTTGAATTCCTTTACTATATCATTTGGTCAGCTATCTTAACTGTTTGGAGATGTCATATAATATAGTCACCCTATGCAATTACCTTTGAAGTTAGGAGCATTAATTTTTATGAACAAATGAAAGTTGCAATTTGTTATATACCCTGAACTCTAATTGACTTCACTAGAAATTTTGCAAGAACAGAAATGTTCTGTGGTTCTATTGTATAATTACTACAGAAAAGGTCAAATGGGATGTTTCTCAGGCTAGGACAAGGTTTTCAACCTTTTGAGATCAGTTTACCTCCAGCGGCCAGACACAGAGCAGTGTACCCCAGGATCCAGAAATGGGGCAGGGGAGGGAGGGGTGGCATATGGCCGGATATACAGTGGTGGGGGTGGGGGCACAGCTGAATGCAGAGCAGTGGCAGCTGCCACATGTGAGTTTCCCCCCAGCCCTGCTTCCGGGCAGGCAGCCAGGCGGCACCTGCATGGAAGTATAGGGTGGTGCATGGTAGCACTTTGTCCCTGCCCACCCACACATACCCCCTAGGGCCTTTTCAACTACCCCCAGAGGTACGCATAGCCCCGATTGACAACCCATGGGCTAGGATACCACCTTTATTGTTCAAAGTTGTGAAATGTTTAATTTTTTCCTATTTTAAGGGCATTCCTCACAATGAAAGAAATGGAATGGGCGGTTTATATAAGCTACAGGTATTCATCTTTATTATATGATTTGATCTTTTTCTTGATAAATAAATTTGACACAAATCAAAATTTAAACATTTTTTTTCCAGGGAGGCATGAGTGCTGCTAGTTATCCTGGCCCACCTGGCCCTCCTGTAAGTATTAATAGATATCATTTGTTTAATTTAAACTTCGATAGAAGGCTTTGTTACTTACATACAACTTGTTTATGAGATAGATAAAAGCAGACGTTACATCTTAAACATGAAACACTCAAAAGCTGCGTCCACACGAGTGCACACGTACATTTTGCATCACCTTATAGGCTTCTGAGGCACCACAATACACGCTCCATGCATGTGATTTGGTTTTCCATGCTGCATACTTGCAGTACAGAGCCAGATTTAGATACTGGGTGATCCCAATATCAAAAAAAGCATGTGGATAAAAAGCAGGGTGGTGCATGTGGCAGCTGCATGCACAGCCTGAAATCAGAGCCTGGCTGACCAGAGCCATGCTTCAGCTGCTGGCTAGGCTCCATACACCCGGATCACCACTGCTGGAGCCCCAGGAGACCCCAGAACCCCAGGTAAGGCTGCTGGGACCATCCCAGCCTCCCCTACCCCACCTGGGGTAACTTTTCATGCACCATAGTTTCTAGGGTCGGAAGGGACCTTAGCAGATCATCTAGTCTGACCCCCTGCCATGGCAGGAAAGAGTACTGGGGTCAAACGACCCCAGCAAGGTGTTCATCTAACCTCACATAGTATGCATGCAGAGGCATTCCCCAGGTACCACTAGCAGCAACACAAATATGTTCCACTGCTACTTATCCCCAGGGAAACACCCATGCATACTCATTTGGATGTGCCCAAACACGCTAAATTTGCTACATTTGAAGATTAAGGCATTTATTTTTAGATGTGTGTCTATCAGATATTTTGGTATATGCTGAGAGAATGGCACATTTTGATTTCAATACTAAGAACTGCATGTAAAGTTGGCAGAATCAAGTGCATAATCTGATATTGGATTATATGCCATGCCTGTTCTAAAAGTAATACTTAAAATGTATATCTTTAGTGTCAGTGTAGTGTAATAGATTTTCAGGGACTCAAACAAGGTAAAATAAGATTGTATTTAGGCATATGTAATAAGTACAGTAGGATCTGAGTCTTTTTTCTTCATCCTTCTAACTTATACATGTATTCTGAGACAGAGAGGCTGTGCACATATTTAAGTCTCTCTGTAATTATTGGTATAGACTGGTTTCATCCCATCCAGGCTACATAGTCACTTTGGCAGCTCTGTAAACATTCTGCCATCACAGTGAGGGGCTACTGTTCCTTATATCATTTGCATTGTAGCATCACAGACTTATCCAGAGATCTCTCCTACACTGAACTTTGGGGCAACAACACAAAGAGCAACTAAGATTTGACCCAAAGCTGACAAAAAGAAATAGCCATTAGTACTGACTCTGACTATGCTGCGTTACCATTGTATTATCACTGTCATTATGTATTTATGTTGTACTAGCACTGTGAGATGCCTTATTCTTGTCTTAAATATTTCTATGAATCTTTCTTTCTTTGAAGGGTCCAAAAGGTGATCCTGGCACGATGGTACGTATGTTTTGTTGGAATGTGTCATTTCAGTTTTAAGAGTGTCTTCATAAGTTGAAGCATGGAGATAGTGACAGGAATAATGGTAGGGAACTAGCAGGGACTGAGCCCTTCAAAGATTACAATAAAAATTGACCCAAATCTCAGAGTAACTGTGGAGATGGGAGAGTCCAGATAATCACATAATCCTGTCACTATATGTGTTTAATAGGGATGTGCAAAACAGCTATGTTACGATTCAGTTTCAGATTCAGCCACTTGGGAGGGACAGTGATTCATTTTGGTGTTTTGGATCACTATTCCATTTCGATTTGGCCAAATCTGTTTCAGAGTTTCAACAATGTTTCGGTGATTCAGCCATAGGCTATAATGGGGAATCACTAAAATGCCTATAACTTTGTAATTTCTTGCCTGATTCAGATAAAAATTGCAGGGATCGTGGCCCCTTCTGAGAGTAGGAAGCATACCAAGTTTCAGGGAGATAGGTGCAGGGTTTTTTGTGACACTGCACCTCACACTCTTCAAAGCAAAACTCATGACATGTGACTGTGTGTGTGTTAAGTCACAGCTGGGTGAAAACTGCAGGGAGGGTAGCCCTTTCTGAGGCCATAAATCCTGACAGGTTTCAAGGAGGTAGGTGCAGGGGTTTCTGCAAACCTGCACCTCAAACTGTTCAAAGTAAAACTCATGACGTCACTTTGTATGTGTGTTAAGGCACAGCGGGATGAAAACAGCAGGGATGGTAGCCCCTTCTGAGGCCATGAAGCCTGCCTGGTTTCAAGGAGATAGGTAAAGGGGTTTCTGTAAAACTGCACCTCAAGCTTCTAAAAGCAAAACTCATGTCACTTGTGTGTGTGTGTAGGCAGAGCAGGATGAAACCTGCAGGTAACCTGTAAAAGTGGGCCTTCCCAATGCCAGTTAGATTGCCTCCTGCCCACCTGTTTTTGGGCCAACCGCCTGCCCCTCTTTTGTCTGCCACACCTTGATAGAAAACTGATTCAGATGTTTCCCAGGTAGGAGACTGCCCATTTAGGTGTCTTGGGGTGACATCCATTCCTCAGCTCTGTACCTGCCCTACACTTTGGCCTATGCCTCACAGATTGCATCATTCAGCCCCTCCAGCTGTGGTCCCCTCTCTTGGACCTTTGGTTCCCCCTTAGGCCCTAGTCCCACCTTCAGGCAAGCCAGAATCCCAAGCCTCTTGCTCTGGGCATGCCTCGCAGTAGGCCCTTGGCCCTTCAGCCCCACTTTGGGTCCTGGCCCCAGCATGGACCAGTTGAGGGTACCTCTGATATCTTTTACTAGACAAACTAAATAGTTGGAGAAATATATCTTAGCAAGCTTTCAGGTTTAAAACCTCTTTGTCAGGCTGAGGAAGCATCTGCAGTTGGTGTGTGTGCTTTTCCTGGGTGGAGTGAATAGTGAAGAAGCCAGAGGCTGGTATGCATGCAAGAAAGCCAGTCAGTGAAAATGTAAATTGAGGTGTCAGGAAGTGAGGGTATAGTCTGGGGTTGGTGGGGGAGGGCGATGTAGCAGGTAAAAGTGGAGAGGTACCTGGGGAGTCAGATGTCAGGCAGGTAATAGTGTGTCATAAATCCAGTGTCAATATTGAGTCCGTGAGTTTTTGTATCCAGGAGGTTCATGAAGTGAAGTTCATAGGCTTGTCTGTGAAAAGTGGTTTGTAAATTCAAACAAGCACCGAACCTCTCTAACCTCATCACCAGAATCAAACTTCCTACATCCCACAACACACCAAATGGATCCAGACCATGCCATGACAAGAAATGCAAAACCTGCCAACATATCTCCAGTACCCCCACAATTACTACACCCCACAAAATAACCATCACTGTTCCTGGATCTTACAGCTCTGCCTCCAGAAACATTATATATCTCAGCCAGTGCACCAAATGCCCTGATGGAAAATATGTAGGCGAGAGCAAACAACAACTGCACACCAGAGTGAATGCACACCAGAAATCTATTACAGACAAGAATACTCAACTACCTGTGGGGGCACATTTCTCACAAGCAAGCCACTGTCTCTCTAGTCTCTCAGTCCTGATCCACAAAGGAAATTAACAAACCACTTTTTACAGATAAGCCTATGAACTTCACTTCATCAACTTCCTAGATACAGAAACTCATGGACTCAATATAGACATTGGATTTATCACACCCTATAAACTTCCCGACATCTGACTCCCTAGGCACCTCTCCACTTTTACATGCTACATCACCCTGCATCCAGCCTGTCCCTCACCCCTGACACCTTACTTTACATTTTCACTGACTGACTTTCTTGCCTGCATTGCATGCCAGCCTCTGGCTTCTTTACTATTCCTGACATTCAGGAAGAGCACACACACCAACTGCAGGTGCTTCCTCAGCCTGACAAAGGGTTTTAAACCTGAAAACTTGCTAAGATATATTTCTCCAACTATTCAACAGGATCAGAGGTAGCAGACCTATTTCACATAGTCAACTGGCTGATCAGTCCAGATTATCCAGAATCCATATACCCACATCAGCCACTGTGAAGAGCTACCAGCATTCTTCAACAATAAACAATATCAGCCCTGAAGATGGAGCTGTCAGGAAAAGAAATGTGCCTGTATGCCACATCACCATAAATATGCTTGGTCCCAGACATGATGACATTGAAGAAGCTCTAGTAAATGAAGCTTTTTTCTAGTAGCTCTTTTCTAGTAAATGAAACTCAATGTAACTAGTCTGTTAAAAGGAATTAAACTGCTCAGCATTTGCTATTTGATCTTACTCTTCCTGGCATGTCCGTCAGAACTCAAAGACTAATGCAAGGACACTGCTGTCCCACAAAGCCCTTTCATGACTAGACTTTGTTTGCAGAACAGAGTTCTGTTCAGAAGCACTAGATTTATCTAGAAAGTTAAAGAAAAGTTCCAGAATTACCTTATAATCTATGTTAATTCTCTAATTAACTACATATGCTCAAACCTATCACTGTATTAACTGAAAGTGGTTTAGAGCTGACATTGATCAGGCAACTACACCAGAGGGGTTCTCCCTGATTGCATTCTTAATCAAAATCAAAACAGTTAATCAGAAATAATCACATTCTGCCTCTGGAAATAGTTTTTATTCTCAGATCATTAAAACCTCATCTGGCAAAATCTGTTCACTCAAAGTTAATAGAATGTTTAGTTGTTTCTTAAATATTTTCAGGTTAAATACTCTACATTTATTTGCTCTCCAGCCATTTTATGTCTCATCAAGAAGGTGGAATTATTAATCTATGCAACTTTTTTTTTAACCAGGGAGATCCCGGTCCAATGGGGCTACCAGGTCTAGAAGGACTCCCAGGGGAAAAGGTAGGACTTTAAGACAGGAAAACATTTTCTTTAGATGTTGTCTGGCATTTCTCCAGAGTTTCATGTGAATTTCACTGTGTATGCAGTGATACTGTGTACCTACCTGAATTTTCATGTTCTCTATGTGTTGATCTAAATAGTACAGTTCTATAAATATTCAGTTCCATATTCTGTGCCCTCTGAGCATCTCAGAGTTACACCAGGCACAGCTGGTGAACTCAGACTGGTGAGGTGGTGGAGCATCCCATGGCGACGGGGTTGCAGCTGGCCGGCAGCGGGGGGGGGTTGCAGCCTCCCCGCCACTGGCTGAAGTGCCCAGCCAACTGCAAACCTCCCTGCCCCCCACTCCCAGCTGGCTGCAACCCCCAACCACCCCAACTCCTGTGGGACACTTCACCACCCCACCAGTCTGAGTTCATCAGCCACACATGAGTTACACCACTCCAAGCAAAGGTTAACATTGGGATGTGCTATGTAGTTCATGTTAAGGTAACTTCACTGTGATTAACAGAGATAAAACAAGCAATTTGCAGTCCTCCAGCATCCCAGGATTCACTGTTCCCAGCCCCCAGTAAATAGCTGTGTTACTTCTGTTGTGATGCAGGTCAAAACCCAAGATAGGCAGAGCTGCTGCAAATGAAACATCTTTTTGTAGCCTTAGAGACCTCTGTAGTGTAACTTCTAACTAAACAGATGTTACATATGGTACTATAAAACATAGTGCTACAAAGAAGTTCCTGTTTCAAACAGGCACTTTTCTGTAATGCTTGCACCATTTTCATAGTTTCATAGTTGGTATGGTCAGAAGGGACCTGAGCAGATAGTTTCATAGTTTCATAGTTTCTAGGGTCGGAAGGGACCTGAGTAGATCATCTAGTCCGACCCCCTGCCATGGCAGGAAAGAGTACTGGGGTCAAAC